TATTTTTTGAATCAGAACAAATGGACAGGTAGGAGAAAGAAGTGATGATGGAATTTTTAAATTAAAGAGTAGAAAAATGTTGGATGAATTTCACAAGAGTTGACCCAATATGATTAAACCTACCTAGAAGCCCAAAGGTCCAGCTGAGTTTAGAGTGTCTCATTCATCCAGTATTTATTGAGTGCCAACTGCATACCCAGCTCTCTATGCGTGTGTGATTTTGCAGAGGAACCAGCAGCATGCATCGATAAGCAGCAGTTGTGGAGTGGATATAAGGGGCATAACGTGGGACTCACCAGGACTAGGAAACTCAGAGTATGTCAAAGGTTGGGGCAGCTAAGAATGTAAGGGATTCTGGAATGTTCTCATTGGCCAAAATGTTCAGGTAGGGCAGAGAAAAAAGTGAAGGAAGGGACTTCAAACCAAGACAAGGCAAGAGTACGGCTTCCGTAGGAGCAAGAGCCCCTCAGTATGAAGGTGAGGAGTGGAATGGAGAGAAAAATAGGGAGCCAGAGGCGCATCTATCCAACGGTCCATAATCCCTGCCCAGGCAGAGCATCGTGATGGACAATGGATGCACAAGTGCTCACTTTTCTGGGTTATAAAATTAAAAGTATGATTTGCACTCTCGGAAAAGGAATCATAGTCTGCAGAACTAGAGGTTGCTCTAAACCTCCAATCTAGAGGGTAGCCACATGAAATAATCCCTCTTTTCTTATCCTCCCGACCTGAGACTTAACACATTAAATAATGTGTTTAAAAATGGAAAAACACTTGTTAGTGGCATTTTAGGTGTAATCTAGTTCTGTTAAGAGCAAGGAGGTTTGGGGCACCCACACCAGTCCCCTCTGGGAAGGCTGCAGGTGGATTATCACAGCTTCACACCAAAACGGATCAGCAATGAAAAAGATAATACAGGAAGGAGGATGAAAGTGCTCATAAACCCTCAGAACGTGCTAGCTCTGCAGTGGGCATGATGCCAAGTGCTCACACCCTTGCCTGACACCCAACAGCCCCCCAGAGCAGCCCACTGCTCCATCTGCTCTCACCAAGCAGCCATCCAGCGTGGAGGTGGATTGGAGAACCTCCGTGTCTTGAGCTCCAATACTGAACTCAGATCAACTAGGGTCTAAGATCAAATTCTTCTCCTGCGCTTGGTTTTTTGATGTGCCAGGTCCAAGCCAACACGGAATCCCCTTCTGTTAACCATGATGCCAGTCCCACAGACCTACTCCCAGTTGGAACTACCCGTTGTTCACAAGCCACCACTCTGACCCCTGCCCTAACAAAGTCGCCTCCTGAATGAAAGGAAGAGAAAAATAACACAAGTGCTTGAAACATTCTTTCCCTGGGATTTGGAAAGTGACGGTTAGAGAAGAGGGAAAAGCCACGTCAAGGGAAAGGATGGTGAAAATGGAACATGTAGTTCCACGGTGACGAGATGAAATTACATGTTTGCCATGTAAGGGAAGCACATTTAATGAGAACAGGTAATTTTTAGAGGTTTATAATTTTCAGACTATAACATGTTACCTTTTTTCTTAAAATAAAAGTACTATAAATTGTACTATAAATTGTCATCATGGTTAGGTGACACAGAGGGGCGTGCGCAGTCTTCGTGCAGAGGCGTGGGCTTTTCAGAGCATCTCGCCATGCACGGCTAATGGCTTGAGCAGGCTTTTACTCTAAATAGGCACAGCCCTAAATACCAGGTCCCTCCATCCTGGAACCAGCAGTTCCACCTTCCACTAAATCACGGAGCTCTCCCCTGTCGGCGGTGTGGGGAGGAACACATTTATACCAGGCTTTCAGTGCTCAAGCTCAGCACAATAGAGCACAATATTTTAGCCAGATATTAATAATTCTTTGTTCTGAGGGCTATTCTGCACATTTAGCAGCAGCCCTGGCCCCACCACTAGAAACCAGGAGCACCTCCCCCATTCATGTCAACCAAACATGTCTCCAGACATTGCCATATTGTCCCTGGTG